TGCATGGCTAAAGCGAGGGGTATGAGTGTCGAAGATGGTTGGGGTTGACTCCGTGTAGTGCTTGGGCTGTTGATTTGACTCGTTGATGTAATTGCAGGTATGTGCTGTGAATCAGATTCTGGATTTGGTTGCCTGCGATCACATATATACGTATAATTGTGAGGGATCTCAGTGAGACTGTGAGAAGTGATTGTCACATACTTCCCCTTTTATATGTATATACATAGGTGTACTTGGGGTGAATTTCTGAATGAGCTAACGGGCCCCGTACAAAAAACATACTCAGAGGTTAAGACTGAGAGGCCCAGGGAAGACCCTTCCTTTTCTTTTGCTTCGCTTCTTGAGGATTTTTCTTAGTCGGACGTTGGTCCTGGGCCGGGATTCAAGGTCCTTGTCCAGGACATCCCAATCCCTAGGCTCTGCAGGGGAGGGACTTTCCCTCGCACAAAGCCTATTTGCTTTGCCCATCGAGGCACCCCAGCCTAAGGGCGAAAATGCCGCGAGGGCCGAACGGCTCGTCCTTCAGCCGTTCAATATCGTGTGGGGTAACCTCTCACGATATATTCCTTCCGCCATTCAATGTTGCGAGGCCGGAGTCGCGATTACCACGTAGGGTTGGCATTTTTGGTTGGTATGAGATTGGCCCGCAGCTGCGCAGCTTTATATCAAAATCCCGTGCGCGACGTTTCGCCGCCCTAGTGTGTAAAAGTTATGGGATCAAAAGGGACCGGCACATATGGATGAATGTTTTGGGATTACTATAGGTCGCCGACACCGCGCGGAAAAAGGGAGGGTATCCCAGGGCTATGATTTTATTTGCTAGGCAGGGGAACCGTCGACCTATTCCTTATCCTTTGCTTCTTAGAGATCTTTATAGCTGGACGTTGTAGTCCGTGGCAGCCGTCAAAGTCAAACCCCTTGACTTTCGCCCAGGTCCAGGGAGGACTTACCCATAGGGCTGCGAGAGACGACTACCACCACAGGTATAGACCTGTGTACCACCCACTCTGCATAAGGGTGCAGAAGAGGGTGTGTGGTCTTCAACCGCGCATGGCAGTTGTCCGGCGTCGAGAGATTAACCCTCAAGGCGCGTGTCAACCGACACTTGAGTGTCGAATTCGACCCTCGAGATTAACGAGAACCGCATAGGTATGGGTACTACATGGTACGCCATCATTGCGACCGCTTGCGTACGCTTGCATTGCGAATCGATATGAGTTAGCCCTGCGTCCGCGCGGTTTCATATTAAGGCTTGCGCGCGACGCCTATTCGATTTTCCGCGTCAAAAAGTTATGGGTTGGCTACTGAGGGGCTAGGAGCGTTGTCGCATTATTTGGGTCGTGTTGTTTTGTGTGTATGTGTGTTTTTTTTATATTTTTGTGTTCGTAAAGTGGTGTGCGCATGGTGCATGGGATGCGTCCTAGTCGACCGACGACGGCCCGCGCTTAGGACTGCAGCCCCTTGAGATGTTGGTTCGCGTGCGGGTCCGATAGAGGCGTATTACCGCGCGTACCCCCTATGCTACAGTGAACGAGAAACGCCCTCGGCTGGTCCACCTCTGCGATTGCAACTGATTAGCTCTTGTACTGTGGACTGGTAGCTCGGCGGGGATACGCCCACCAAAGGGAGGTGACAACTCCCATAAGGTGTAGGTAAGTCGTGCCTCGCGCAGGCCCTATCTTGTCGTAGGGGCTCGCGAGAGGTAAGGTTGGCGCTCTCGGTCGGAGCGGCTTAAGGAAGCTCCACATGTATTATCTGCGACGAAGGATTTAAACCAACTCCTGCGTGACGCGGCCGAGAGGGTTCCTCACTGCCCTGGTACGGTTCCGAAGCGATGCGCCCGACAACGTGAGCTCCCAAGACCACTGCCCAACTTGATCCCCTACTTTGATCACCCTATGGTAAGGCTTCCAGGCCTTAGCAAAAAACGACCAGCCACCCTTCCGCCTTCTAGACACATCCGCAGAGATCGCCGTTCGTAGATTCCACACCATCCAGACCCGTAATGTCGGGAAGGATGGCGGCACCCCCTCCCGCAACAGCCTTGCTCGCATGGCCCACGCAGCCGCCCAGAACGTTGCACGAACTGTATCAGCCGCGTAAGCCTCGGCCATCCCTGTCACATCCCCCGAAAGGAGAAGCCCCACCAAGACCGAGGCGCTCCTTCTCCGGACACCAGGAAGGGGGACGACATCCCCCAAGGAATCCCACCATTCCCAAAAAGCCACTTGTGGCGCACATTCCAGCCATACATGAGGCAGGGATTCCACATCGTCCTGACAGTGCCTTGAACACCTGTCTTTGTGCGAACACTTGTCCGCCAACCACTGATAAGTGGGTTGCGCCAACTGAAGGCAAAGCCACAGACCCTCCGCATGTTTCTGGTCCGGGAGGATGGCAATAACCCTACAAACCTTCCGCCAAGTCGAGACATCCCAACAAAGCAGGGCTTTCTGATCCAACCATCCCCTCTTCCTCCACCTCTCCCGCATTTCATCAACCATGTCCGTCGGGACTAACAGGGACCTGTAGATCACCTTCATAGTTACCTGGTGGACTCTGCAGCGCTTCATGAGTGAATTCCTTGGTGCCCATTCCCAACCCGAAGGATCCCAAGGGAGCTAGAGCGGCGTGTAGGCCGGCTTGAGGGCACGAAACCCTCCTCCCTTGGAAATCAACTGATCCCTCAGCACCACAACTGACCTGATACACTCCTCATGAAGCCTACCGTCCCGCTCCGGCCGTCGGACAAGCACATCACCCAGCGCCTTACATGGGCCGACATCCTCCCAAGCCTCCGCCCCATACCACTGAGAACCCAACTTCTCTTTGAGCTGAAAGAAAATAACCGGACGGCCCTGCCCTTCCAAGGTAACCCATTCCCCTTGCATCCGTAGCTATGAGGCAATCAATCCAATCCTGCGGAATCGCTCGTTTAATCTCCTCCAACCTTTCCTTCTTCTTCGGTTGATGCTCCAAACGACACAAAACCTCACCTTCTTCCCTCCACGTACCTCCCTGCACGTCCCAGATATCAACAACCCGATACTCCCACATACCAACCACTGCTTCCCGAAAGCACTCGGGCAGTCCTGCCATGAAAAGGGGACGCCCGACTGGTGTATGAAACGGTTCCCAAATAAAGTCTGCCCCAAAATCTGATCACAAGTCCGTGGAGCCGCCTATCGCAGTGGGGCCTCCGGCCATTTTTGCAAGACACCCGACCAGAACGCCCCTCGCCGAAGGCCTCGAAGAAGCTGAGGGTGGAGAAGGGTCGTCTCAACATCTGTCGGGTAAACTCTGATAGCCTCCGCCATCTCCCGTAATGTGACCAGCTTCCAAGGCTCCATATCATCCTCTAGAAGGAGCCATAGAACAGTCCGCATCTGTAACGCAGAAACCTGAACACGGGGTTCGAACAACCCCTGCCCCCCAGCCGACCTGGGCTGCACCAGCTTCTCCCACCACACCCTGTAGATGAGGTGTGGAATGCACGGGTCATCTTTCCACAGGAACTTCCTCAAGGCTCGCTTATAATCCCTCCAAACCCTTTTGGAACGATCCGAAACTGCGCCTGCATACCACAGTGTCGCCGACACCACATTGTTAGCGATGAGCACTTTCTCAAACCTGTGTTACCGCGCGTTCATTGACCGCGAGTTTCACGTTCAGGCTTTGAACGGGGTGAACGAGCGTTCAGTGAACGGTGGTAAACGCGTTTGACGCGTTTGCGCAGGGGGTTGTGCGGGGTGGGGGGGGGCTTTGGGCAATGTGGGGAGCGGCGGCG